CTAATTGTATTAACTGTGTACCGGCACGACATCTGCCATACTGTAAGTTGAAGATTGTAATTTTATTTTATTTTATTTTGTAATTATCTTAAGACATAATAAATCTTAATTAATTGTAACTAGAAACAGTTTTGGGTCGTATCTTTAATATTGTTGATTATATGGTATCGTCCTTTGTTAGGCACTGTTTACAACGAGCCAATTAAAATTAAAATAGGAGATTACTTTCTCCCAGTACAAGTCAGTGCGTAACAGCAAGGCTGTCAATCAGGGGGCTAAATCTCATGAAGCCAGTAGGATAACCACAGCTGAGGCACGCAATATGAGATCACCGACTGCAGCTACTTTCCCCTGCCCGCAGTGCCAGAGATTATTCCGAGAACGCATCGGTCTAGCAAGCCAGGTACGAGCTCACCGTAACCCACCCATCCCCCTAACCGCATGACTCGATGGTCCTAGTCAATTTTGACGGACGAACAACAAAAACATTATTGACCTCATAAGGAGTCACCAGACGTCCGTATTTAGTACGGACAGTTCTTTTTTTCGACTCCCTCTACAAATGTTTGCGTCCTTATTTGTCCGTACTTTCCTCTTGTCGTCCGGCTTGTCCGTACTTTTGGCAGCGACGACTTCCTTGTCTTATTCCCATTTGTCTCATCTTATTTCTCAGCAAAGGCAAGCGCAGTGAATAGTCCAGCTCCATCTGAAAGCTCAAAAATAGCATATTTATATCTCCAATGCTGTAAACATATCACGCAACGATGTGTAGGAATTGTCGTCATAATGTTGTCATTTCTTTTCACAAATGAACTCGCGAGATATCGCTTCAATAGTACTCAGTAGCTGCAGCATTACACTAATATTTCGTCCCCCGTTTCTTGAATGTGCTAGTTCAGTGGTTCCTATAATGTCTCGATTCCCGGCGCTTATGCTAAATTTAGGTTTACACCATTCTTATGCTGCCTTTCGGATTCTACTTTTCATTTGGTGCTATTTTTATTTGACTCTATTTTGACTGTTGTCTGTTCGCTACGGAGGAAATGCTGCGCCTGGGGCGAAGCCGGAAAATGGCGCCACTTGATATAGAGAAAAAGTGCCCCCCTGGGGTGAATCAGTAAAAAGACTTTTTTTGCCCCCCCCCCCCCAAATC